GACTTTTAATAGACACATTATCTACAGTTTATCGGACAAACAGTTCATTTAAATAGAAAAGTATTAATTTTTATGTAAAGCAAGATAGAGTTCAAAAGCACAGCTTTTGTAATTTTGGTAATATTGCAATTATACAAACATATTGCATAGTATGTGTAAGAAAATAGTTCCATTTTAATATATCCATATATACAAGAAAACATTTACATGACAATTACAAAACAAAATAAATGAGTAGTGGACCTGGTTTAAAGAATTGTATAAATAGCACGGCAGTCCAACTCCAAATCACAGATCTCTATTGTCACTGAATGTCCTCCCATGTCTTCAACCCTGTTTGGCTTAGAGGCATAAATATTCAAAACGAGATATTAAGATCGCAGAAAAAAAAATAATCACAGTTCATTCTACCTTACTTCCTCAAAGACTGGAGCCATTTCAATTAACACTTAAAAAAATAGCCCTCTGCTTTAAAAAGTATTTCAGATTCATTATATTCTCTAAAGAATTATTAACAGTGATGAAAGCCTAAACTCTGCGGAGGAAACTCAGCTTGGGCAGATTAGGGAAAATAGTATGTATCTACTGATTGCTTTTATTTTTATGACTACTGAAGTGTTTATGATGCAGGTGCAAAATGTAGGTGGGCCTCTCCATCTCAAACGTTCTTTAAAACCAAGACATACAGGAGTGCGCTACCACTCAGAAGGTTGCCTGGAAGAGGTTCTGGCTGCTGCGGCACCAAGCGGCTCCTCCAGTCACTAGAGTACATGACTCAGAGCAGCAGTGTGGTGGTGTTAATCACAATGGGAGTCCTAGTCTTTGGTCTGTGACACTGAGACAACTAATAAACTGCAGTATCAAACAATTTGTTTTATAATAGTGTTCCATGAGATTGCTTATCCATTTATTATTTTATCAAGAAAATATGCTTTTATTTTACTTAATGCTCATCTATTTTGCAATATTCATAGACTATATATTACTACATAAAGTAAATACTTTCTCCAGGTGCCTTTAAATATGATTACATAAACATTCTCATTAGAACAAATCTTACGGGAAGATTAAGGGGGCAACACCTAATTCATATGAAACTGAAATATAAGTTTGGTTTGATGGCTGTATGTATAAACACTTTATCCATTAAATACCATCAACTGTTCTCATGATTTAATAGTATGATAGTGATTTCTTTGTAAAAATATGACTTAAATGCACTAGACACTCTCTAAACATCTTAACTATTGCTACCTAGTGCAGAAATACTGTATTTTCAATGACATAATTCATTGGTTTTGTTGTGTCCAATGATATTTTTATAAATATGACATCTTCCAGGCATTCAGATGTTAAAATTTGCGTGAATGTCATGCTCTGGGATAATATATGATAAAAAATCAGCAATTGACCACTGTAATCAAATTACTGTTTCTTCCAATGCCAGTGATTTCAGTTGGATGGAGATAAGATTTATCAATATCAACAAAATGCATGTTTTTGGCAAACATATCCATGAATTTCTCAAATAGTTATTTTTAATAAAACCCAACTGTATATTTTGTCCTTTTCAATGTCAACCATATTGCTGAGCCCTATCAAGAAACCTGATTTTCCTAAAGGGACCGTAAAGTACAAATGGTAATAGCAAAGAAGAGAGTACAGGAAAGAATATACGGAATAGGGTGTTGGGAAGATTTGCATTTCCACAACCTTCAGTAGGGTAGGAAGGCCCAGAAGGCATTGAAAGGCTGATCCAGCCTGGGCTCCTTCAGCTTGTGATGACCAGGTCTTAAACCAATCGCTGCAAGCTTAGGATGCAGGTGAGGAAGTGAAACTTTAGTTTGATGTCCCCCTTACCCAGAAAAGCAAACTGAAATCGAGGGAACTAAATATATGTCTCAAGGTGACACCAGTGGCTGGAGGCAGCAGCAGAATCTGAGCTATTGGCTCTAATCCCCAATATTTTAAGTTATGTGTTTTAAGATTCCTATGTGTACTATAAAATTTGAAGTGTACTAGTGCCTTAAATCTTTAAGTAAATACTTAAGGATCCTATTATAAAACTTGTAGTCCGTACTGAAATTAAAAATAAAGCATTAAGAAGTGCAGAAAGGACATTTTGGAATATTTGGAACTGTTGGGGACAAGAACCAGGAAACTGGAAAGTTCTTGTTTTCCAGGGGTGTTCTTTCTGAACTATTGTGAGGACAAGAATGGTGTTTCCCTCCCTGTGATCTAAAATTTTAAAGTTCCTTATAATACAGAAGAATTGTGTTAGCTACACAACAAAAACAAAAACAAATTCTGAACTCAAATACCTCCGTTCCCCCATTCTTAGCTAAGCACTGAAATGCTAGAGACAACGCTAGTCTCTTTCCTTCCTTTCGTCCTTTCTGTCCATCTGCTTACCTGGCTTCTTTCCTTCCTGACCGGCTAACCCGGGCACAGTGGTTGTTACTAAGCTATGAATAGTAAGCTCATTAGGGTTCTTGTTTACAACATAAAATAAAATGTTTTTCTGGGTATGACTTAGGGAAGATTAATTTTCACTATCAAAGTAAACCATATTATGCTTATATACATTGATAACCTGTAATCATGGTCTTAGGAAAACAGATAATGAATCTAGCTGGGTAGTCTACGAAAAGGGCACGTCTATATTAAGAAGGAATCAAGCCTTCTGTTAAAAGTTAATTGAAGATGTTTGAGTGCAAACTTCTACCCTTACAGAGATGGCTGGCCTGAGTTTGTGCATATAGTTCCATAAAACCACACTCACTGCCAACGACTAGACTGCAACACACAGTGATCTGAAGCAGCAGTTCTCAACCTGTGGGTCGCGACCCCTTTGGGGGGGTCGAATGACCCTTTCACAGGGGTCACCCAACTCATAACAGTAGCAAAATTACAGTTAGGAAGTAGCAACAAAAATAATTTTATGGTGGGGGGGTCATCACAACATGAGGAACTGCAGTAAAGGCTCCGGCATTAGGAAGGTTGGAAACAAGTACACAGGATTTCTGGGGCTGTCCATTGTTTTACAGGAGCAGAAAGCTCCAGCTTGCTCCCAGAGTGTGGCTGATGATTTTGAACCACAGACCTTGGGGTTAGCCATCCAATGTTTACTCAACAGTCTAAACAGCCAATCAAGGAATTTAAGCCAAGTATTTCATGGCTGAGAATAAAGCCTGAATTATTACTGGTTTCCCCCATATAACTTACGTAGTTGTTTTTATGCCAAGCAGGTATAGTTTAAATCTTTGAAGTTATTAATTGTTATATTACAATTATTATAAATTTTATAATCATATATTACCTTGAATTGTCTTTAATTTCTCAGAATTTATTTGAATTGTAATTTGACACCCCTCACTGGAATTACTCCTTTTTACTTCTCAGCTTTTCACCTTTTCTTGGGGTTGGACAAACTATTGAAATTCTCAGTAACTTTGCCCCTACTGTATAATTGCTCTTGGAATTAGATCATGTCGGTACTTGAAAGAGCCTCAGGAGACCATTTTATTAAACACTTTTGTGGTAAAGTTGACTAAACAGAAGCCTGCAGATATTCACAGCCAGCCTGAATTAGTTCACTGATTGTTGGAAGACAAGCTGAAATTAGAAATGAGACCAATTACCAATCAAAACAATTATTTCTCTTTGACTAAGGAACGTTCTCATTGTTTTAATTTAGGGCTGTTTGGCATGTGAAATGTTTCAAATTAATATGCAATTCTTTTCTTCCCCTAAAAAGTTCACAACAGAGTGATTAGCATCCATAATTTCTTAAAACTTCTTTCTTTATACTTTGTAGGAGCATTTTACAAAGACCAATGTGAGAATTATTCTTAACTACATTCCAATGTTGCAACTTAAATAAATTGAATCTTGTGTTGCCATGTCACTTTTTAAACAATGACACATGACTATGTCAATACAAGTTTATATGGGAACCCTTAATCACCAGTCAAGTTCTAGTTTAAACTGCTTTTTGACCCTTCCCGGCGTACCGAATCCTTCAAGTGCATTAAAACACATTCAATCACATTATCCAAACTAGATAATCTTGGTTTTTCTCTTTTCACTAACCAAATTATTTAAACAAATTCCAATCCAGTTTCCACACTCATGCACCGCAGAATGAAGCATCTGCATACCTACAACAATGGGTGAGAGAGAGAGAGAGACAGAGAGAGAATAAAAGAATGCATGTGAAAATTTATGACTTACCTTGTAATAATCAAGTCATCTTTCTGTAATAGGAAACAATAAGCTTTACATTTTTTGATCCCACATGTCTCAAGAATTTTGTTAAGGGGTGCTATGAATAACTTACAGTGTTGTGGAGTGACTTCCTAGGAGACCATTTATAAAAAATAAGCAGTGGAAAAGAGAAGGAACTAGGATTTCTGATGTTAGGCTAGTTTAACAGTCTAGTAAAGTATCTAAGTTTTAAGAGCTGAATAGAAATATAAGTCTCTTAAAATCTAAATTGAATGGCGTATACACATCTTCACCATGTTTGTTAACAGTAGTCTTTTTATAAAACACTGGTTAATCGTGTACTTTTAATGTAATTACTAAAAAAATATTAACCTTCAATAAAAATAGAGAAAGTAATTGGTAAGATGATATTACAATGGAAAGTGAATCCATTCCCAGAATGATCCATCTCATTCGTATTTATTTATTTTGAGGATTTTTGACTCTTAGCAGTTAGGTTCAACTATAAAGTGAATGGGACAAACAAAAATTATACTACTTAAACCTAACTATAAAGGAAAGCATGTAATTAAAATGAGAAAAAAATGATCTATGGATTCTATACCACCAGTTTGTCCCTCATACTCCTATCTTAAATTACAATCAACTAGATGTTTAGTTAAAAGCAAATACATCACATGCAATAGCCAAGTAAATATTCTATAAGGCCATTCAGATCTGACAAATGACTGGATAATGGCATTTTGTTCATTCTGTAAAGATTATATTGCTGAGTGCTTTCAAAATTACCTAATGTACAAAAATCTAGACTTAGTAGACAAAGAGTAACCACACATTGAATTTGAAGACATAAATAACACTCAGGGAAGGATTCTGTCTTGTTTTGTTTTGTTTTGTTAAAAATCATGTATTGAATTTAATTTTTAGTAAAGCAAGCATTACATAATGCTTCAAAATTTTAAAATTCGGGGATAAAAGTTTACATCCAAAAAGATGAATGGAAAATTGTGCTTTCAAATTGTAGAGTCAGTTTTCAGACAGGGTTTACCAATTCATCTTGCCACGGGGTACTAGGCCTGTCAGCTCCGTTGTGTGAATATGTGCGTTTCACGTCCAGGTCCTGCAAACATCTAGAACTATGTGCTTCACTGCATGTAGCAAAGGCACCTGTATTCTCCCTTTTGATGAAAAGTTATGATCCAGTTCTCGTGCTGAAGATGACGTTTCCACGGCGTTGTCCGGTATCACTCGCTCTCTGTGCGGAGCAGCGCTGTAAGTCACCAGAGACGGTGGCGGTGAATCCTGCTGACACTGGAAGCAGTTGCACTGTGGACCATTGAAGAAGCTCTGGACTGCTCACAAGGGAAACCGCGCGGAACTGTGAAGCAGACGGACAGGAACAAAAGGCTATTCTGGTGTGAGGAGGAAGCAGTCATCTCAGCTCCACAAGCAGATGCTGCTGCTGGCCTGACAAGTGGAGCCCACTCCCGCGGGAGAAAGGTAAAGTTTGCCACTGGGGCAAACACAGAGTTCATACACTGTCTGCCGGGACTGTGAAGAGCTGGCTGGAGAGGAGGAGAAGGAGCCGGTAGGCAGATTTCCCAGCCGGATTGTATCTGCGTTCAAAAATATCTGGGAGAAAAGGAATTGCATTTTAATTTATAATAGCTTTCTACAGCCCTCAGAGCTTGACAACATGTCTAATAAGAAAGACTAAAGAACAAACAATTCTGCTAGTTTAGCCGCCATGCTTTGTTAAACAAACAAATTGCATTACTATTGTATAGCCCCAATGCTGGGCTGCTATCCTCTCCCTTGAGGAATGGCTCATTCTGACAGCAAGTCTTCCGTCTGAAAGGCAATCTGCTCAAAGGGCAGCCCAGATAGTCAAACACTACAGAACAATGATGTGGACAGCGTCTTAATCCAGTCTAGCCTAAACAACAGAATAAGTGTTCATAGAGATACCATTACTATAAGCAGTACAGCCTTAATCATGATGATCATTAAAATCATTCCTTGATTTATTGTTTCAATGTGAAGTGGCTGTTCAGTGATAGACTCCTCATCTTCCAAGCGTCAGCCCAGGTTTGCTTCCCAGTCACTGCATCTCAGGTGCAGGTACCATCTGTCTGTCAGGGGAGACGTTCCTGAGGCTATGATGTTGAACAGGTGCCAGTAGAGCTTCCAGACTCATACAGATCAAGAAGGAAGGCCTAGCATCCTACTTCTGAAATCAGTCCATTACGAGTCTCCGCACCACAACGCACAGATATCATTTTGCATGTGGTCACCATGAGTTAGGTTGGCGTCACGAGAGCTCACAGCAGCAACAACGCTATTTCATTTGTATGATAGTGTTAACAACTTGCGGTCTAATATACATTCCTGCATGCTAAATGAGAGGTGGTTATTGTATGTAATCGGATTTGGAGTTTCCACGACAAACAGGACTTTCACTTAACATCCACTTTGCTAAATCTTTTAACTTGAGAACTCGTTTATTCAAATGAACAATTTTAGGTACACTGATCACATTAATTTTGACATGCGCAGGGGAAAGCTCTAATAAAAGACAAGATGGACCGTAAGCTTGGACAAACAGAGAGGATAACCCTCTCTAGCTATTGCTTGATTCTTTAGTCAAGTAGTCAGTTACTTCTTGAAGGTATCCCTAAATTCACCGAAAACATGTCCCATATCTTCGTCCTCATCCAAGTCCTGCTTATTTCCTATTGAGACTCCTTCAGTTTTCCCTTATCTAGTCCCCAACTGTCATCTATTTCTTACGGCCAACCTTACACAGTGCTTGATTGGACATTAGGAAAGGCAAATCAAACTATACCACTCCCCTGCTCAGCACTCTGTATTCTCCACACACAGAGAATGGATACAATCCTGTAGGCCCTATATGACCTGGCTTATCGATATAATGCTCTGGCCTGGAACCCTTTTTGCTCTAGTTATTGCTTTTTCTCAAACATTCTGAGAGAACTCTGATCTCAGGCTTTTGCATTCTCCATTTATTTAGACAGAGATCTTTAAAAATGGGGGTAACAGAGATACTCTTCACTTTTTATATACATTTAACATTTTGAATCACATGAAACCTAGTCTGTATTTCAAATGTTTCTTATTTTCTAAAGGATCCATATGCCTGTTTACGTATATTTTAAATTCATTTGGATGTGAACATTGCTTGATTCAGATTTCTACTAAAAAGGCCAGCTTCTCAAAAAGTACTTTCCTGTCCTCTCTATCTAAATTAGCCCTAATCAGTGGAACTGTGAGCTATTTTACATTTATCATGACAATGACTTTAACAATCTCCCAATAACACTAGAGAAAGTATGCATTTGCCTTTTATAACTGGTGGATCAGATCCATGAGGGCTGCTCTATTATGGTTATTGTTGTTGAGAACTTTAGAACTGTACATAGAACTGTGCCAGTACATGTTAACTACATTAATTCATCTTATCTTAACTTGGCTTTGACTTCTGCCTTTAGTGTAGAAATGTTATCATCCATTAAGATACAGCTCATCTGCTTTCTCAACCATGGACTTTTCCCTGATGCTTCCAAATTAAAGTTCTCTTCTTAATTGATCCTTCCAAAGTAACTTATTATGTCCAAGACCTACTCTGCTGATACCATATGTTATTTTAAGTCATATTGATATCTTATGGTTCCTACTGTACTGTGTTCTTTAAACATAGAACTATGCATGATTCTTTTAATATCTTTCCAATACTTGACCCAAAATTTTCACCATATATACAACATAAACTATTCAATAAAAACAAGAAAAGTGAATGAAAATATTTATCAATATTTAAATTAAAAAAATCATTATTAAAGTTTTTACTTATAGGTTCAACTATATTTTCCCACATAATTCTAGTTTAAGTGATTAGAAATAAAAAAGAAAGAAAATATTTTATCTTTTAACAAAAAGCAGATATTTTAATGATATGAATTAAAAATAATGAATAAGATATTTAGATATTTTGAATGAGAATATAATATATTCTGAATGAGAATATAATATATTGTGAGTTTGAGAAAGAATGTTGTGCTATAATATGAAAAAGGGTGTAATAGCAGGGGGCTTAACAAAGTTTTGGGATAAACTCCATTATCTTTCAATTAAATTTTCCTTAATCCCTTGAAGCCCTCCAATATATTGACATGTTCCTATTGTCTCTGTGATTAATTTATTAGCTACTAAGATTAAAATCCAAACCAACCATTTACTCCATAGCATAAATATACAGCAGTTTGATTCCATAAAAATTGACAGATGTGGAAAATCTGTGGAACAATTCTACTCTGTTCTATAAAAGTCTGAGTGGGAATTGACTCTGATAATTTTGTTTTGCTTTGTTTTAATATTCATTTCCTTACACTTCATTGTATTGAACTTTCTAAGGTTTTGCAGTATGAATGAACTTGTCTGTTGCTACCTAAGGCAGGTGCCAAGAGGTTATCCACTTCCTAACCCACAACACTGAAATTTCTATATTATATTGCATCATAATCCATGCCCTTAATGATTAAAAAACTTTTCTCTGTTCTCAAATAGCACTCTTTTATTCCCAACAGTTTTTTGGTAAGTAATTTACATATCATATAATTCATTAGTTCAATCAGTAAATCATGTCATAGAGAATTGTACAATCACACCCACATCAATCTTAGAGCATCCCCCCTACTTAAATTGCCTTCGAGATGATTTATGCAATTGCAATCCATTCTAGGGCTTCCTATTCCCTCCCATCATCAAATATCACTCTTGAGTATTCAACTAGTAAGTTTTTAATTTCATATCTTCTCCAAGGGATCTTTAACCTCATTCTTACATGTTGAATCAAATTGACCATATTTGTGGAAAAAGCTATTATATAAACTCAATATCACCAGTCCAGAAAAAGGCAAGGGGAAGACTATGGACTATAGCATCATATGCATGTTCAAGTTGAAGTTGAAGAAAATCCAAACAAGTGCATTGGAGCCAAAATATGACTTGTATTATATCCCACCTGAACTTGAAGACCATCTCAAGAATATATTTGATGTATTGAACATTAATGACTGAAAACCAGAGGAGTTGTGGGATGACATAAACAATATCATGCAAGCAGAAAGCTAAATAACATTTAAAAACATGAAAGAAAGAATAGACCAAAGTGGGTATCAGGAAGACTCTGAAATTTGCTCCTGAACGTGAAAAAGTAAAGTGATAACAAGAAATGATGAAGCAAAAGAGCTGAATAGAAAATTTCAAAGGGCAACTTGAGAAAAAAGAGGAAAGAAATGCAGAAAAAGGTGGAGTTAGGATTTCAAAAGAGAAGAATATGATCAGTATAGTTCACACTGCAGGAACTGAAGGAAGCAGTTCAAGCCTCAAGTTGCAGTATATGGGCAAAATATTTAATGATGGAAAACAAACCAACAGAAAACACACTACGATTTATTTAATTCTGACCCTGAGTGACCCTCAATGATAGAAGAGAACTGCCCCTGCCAGTTTTTGTGAGCCTTTAAATCTTTATGGGAACAGACCACGCCTTCATGCTTCGCGCCTGGAGTTGCTGGTAGGTTCCAATAACCTTTCCGTTAGTCGCTCACTTGATGCCACGGCTGCCCCAGGGCTCCCTCTTGAATGATCCAGGAAGCCTCAATATAAGGTGAAAGGAAGGCACCGAATCATTGAACCAACTGTGCAAGAAAGATGAATATGATAAAAGATCTCAGAAAGCACCTCAAAGCTTTCCTAGCACTCCAAGGGCATTGGGTCCTTTCTGACTCACAGCCAAGCTGTTCCACAGAGTAGAACTGCTCATTCATGTTTGATGCGGACAGCTTCATCTTTCTCGCCCCCCCGAGTGGCCGCCATGTTTGAGAAGTCCTTTGCAAGTAGAAGCCAAATGCCCAATCCAAAAAGCTACAGGGGCTCTATATGCCCTTAAATTGATCAGAAACATAGTAGTAAGAGTTGACCTCACCCTGTCACTGGATCTTAAGTAAGCGTACACTAGCATTAGGTAAGAAAAGCACACTCTCCTAGTAAGTCTGCACACGTGTGTCTTCATCTTCTTCTCAAAAAGCATACAGGTCTCAGAGCATCCCTTTAAATTATCCTTAAAAAAAACCCACCTTCCTGTTGATGACCTCATAATTTAACAAACCACCCGGGAAGCTAGAAAGCACCAAGGAATTAGATCAGAAATAGAAATGCAACAAATTTGGACTTTTAAGAATTCTGGGAATTGTAATTAAAATATCCCCCAAATAATATGCATCATGTATAAAGATTATAAATAATCAGCATAGTATTTATAAAGTAAATGAATGAACGAACAACTACCATGGTGGCAGATCTGAAAACAGATAATATAGAATAATGAACAATCATAAACATGAAAAGTGGAAGTCCAATATACTACCTGCTAAAGAGCAACTGAGAAAATGGTGGTAATGTGAGAGAAAATAAGAAGAGAGCTCTTTTTACACTAAAAGAATTAAAATACGTAGCATTTCCTCTGAGTTCGAGACAAACATCATAGCGAAAGTGAGATAAAAGTAATATCTGAATAGATTTGGATAAATCGTTAACCTGTAGGCAGTAAGGACACTGCATATAGCAGACCAGGCGAAAGAAATTACATCTTCCCTGTGGTTAAAAAGTGGAGAAGCCAAGCCAAAGGGCATTTGAAAGCAGTCAGAGATAAGACAGATGATCTTTAAAGTAATAAGTCTCAAAAGAGACTCTCTGAGGAAAGTGATATGAAATAAATCATTAACAGATGTCTCCTTACACAAAAACTATGCACTGTGGTAAGTTGCAAAATCAACTTTCTTTTAATAAATATTCAGTTCTATTTCTACATACATGAACAAACATTCAAAGTTCTTTTTGAAGATAAAAATAGAATGTAGAAGACAAATATTGCCTTCGATCCCGATACTACCTTCATAGTAACTATGTTTAACCACCAATTTTAAAATAAGAGGAATTTAGATATGGTTGGTCGTTAATGCCTTTCAAGTATCACATAAATGGAGCTTTACTAGATTTAGTAATCAGGAGAACTAATATTATCATAAGTCCAACGAGGTCACAAACTACTCTTTGCTTTGTTCCTGGAACCATGTGTATGCCATTTGATAAGATGCACTGTCCCTGCCCCTTAACTCACCTCTCCCTCTGTTGACTGCAAATGGAGTTCCTTCCTGCAGGTGGCCTTGAAGTCCCCTGCTGCTGCGCTCACCTGAACCCCTCGAGGTGCCTCCATTATCAAGGACCTAGTTGGTGATTCAAGCCTGAAGGGAAAAGAAAAGAATGATTAATAGAAAAGAAAATATATTATGCTGAATTAAAGGATGACATTAAAACAAAACAAAATAGTCTAAGATAATGATAATCTTATCATTCCAATAAAATAAGCTTTAGCATGATCTTTTGATTGCCTTGTCTATTGTTTTGCTTATTAATGAAACTGTTCATTTATTAACATAAATTATTTACTTATTTGTATGATTTAGTAACCATATTTTTTGTTATTTCGAGTCATGATGTTCATGGCAAGTGGGTCCTGATAGTGTATTAGTTTGAATATTTTATACATTATTAAAATTAATGATGGAGCTTAAATCAATAAATAAGTATATGCTGAGCCCATAAATATCCCTCAATAAAGAGTCCCTGCTTTGTGAATATATGAGAATTTTAATGAAATCATTAATATTGCAAAAATTTTGCTTGCATGGACATTTTTTAACTTGAAATTTTTCAAAGTACTCATTAAATGTGTAGACATTAATTTAAATGAATAAATAAGACACTTTCTACATCGAGTGTGTTCTACCAACTCAATTAAATGCCCCCAAATGATTGATTTTAGTCTTAGAGAAAAACAGAAAGCGTTGAGTCAATGAAAAATGTTTACTACTTCAAAATTTGAGGGGAAAAATGGAAGGTTTTAGAGAGCTGTCACTGCAAAAATAAATGGCAATTGAAGGACTTTTTCAAAATTAGCTTCATATATAAAACTATAGCAAACTAACATAGCTAATAGAAGGCAGACACCAGCTGGAGAGCATGCTGTGTGAGAGGAGAGGAAGGACCTGCATGTTGTTCTTCTGGGAAAGCCGCTGTCTGAGCTCTTTTAGCACATACACGCAGGTACCCCCCTCCAAACACAAAAAAACACGGATTTTTAACATCAAAGCTATGTATTTAAATTTTTTACAAAACAATCTTACCACCTTCAAAGTACTCTACATTATACTTAATACATTTGTCTTTTTTTTTTCTTTTTCTTTTTTTCCCTTCTTTTATTGGGGCTCATACAATTCATCACAATACATAGATCAATTGTGTAAAGCACATCTATACATTTGTTGCCCTCATTATTCCCAAAATTTGCTTTCTTTTTGGGTTCCCGGAATCAGCTCATTTTCCTTTTTTCCCCTCCCCCTCCCTTCCTCCTCCTCCCCTCTCCCCCATGCACCCTTGATAACTTATAAATTATTATTGTATCTTATATTACACTGCCCGGCGTCTCCCTTCACCCAAATCTTGGAAACATCTTTCAAACTCATGGATGGCTCCCTCATTTTTTTCTTACCACTTCAATAATGGAAAAAAAACAAAAGTCGCTCAGAGTGAAGTCAGGTGAGTCAAGTGCATGGATCAAGAGAGGCATGCTGATTTTTGCCAAAAACTGGTGCACTGAGATGGCTGTACGAGTAGGTGCATTGTTGTAATGGCAAAATCAGTCCCCAACTGCTACAAATCAAGCTTTTTTTTTTTGTTGTCATACACTGGTATGCAACCTTTTCAGAACCTCTAAATAGAAAGCTTGATTAGCAGTCTGACCTGGTAGAATGAACTCCATATGCATTATCCCCCTCACATCAAAAAAACAAAAAATGGATGAGCATCATCTTGATCTTTGATTTTACTTGATGAACTTTTTTGGGGTGAGTTGACAATTGTGTCATCCACTGGCTTGATTGATGTTTGCCTTTTGGATCATAAGAAAGCGCCATATCTCCTCACCAGTAATGACCTTGAAAGAAGGTCTGGGACACTTCAGAGCTGTTCTTTCAAAGCACCGAAGCACAGCATGTTTCCAGTGAACATTTTTTCCCCCAGGTTAATCAGAACACAAGACACAATTTCACAGCTACCCTGCTCATTCCCAAATCTTCCTCTAAAGTTCACTGAACTGAGCTCCAAGATAAGCCAGATAACTTCCCCATCTCTTCAATGGTCCATCGTTGGTCTTAGAACTTGTATGCATGAATTTTGTTAACATTTCCTTTCATTTGGGAAGATGATATGGATGTTCACAATGAAGTTTTCATCAATTGATATTTCACCTTTTTTGAAATGACAAAAACCATTCGTGTACACTTGAGTTTTTCCCATAGCACTGTCCTTGTAAGCTGTATTCAACATCACAACAGTTTCTGTGCCATTTTTCCCAAGCAGGAAACACAATTTCACAGTCTTGTTTCTTAAACAGGCAATCGCAAAAAAATGAGGTTCAAGCAAAACTGCTTTTACGAAAATATTGACTGTAACCAGAGAGAATCTTCCCAGGTGAAGCCCCTGAGTGCACTAACAGAGCAAGTTGCTAGCTGCTTGCTTAGAGAGAAAAATGCATATTAGGAAAACTCCGCCGGGGGGAACATTTTTCTGTGTTTTTTTTTTTCTGTGTGCCCCTTGTATGACATTAAGACAAGGGTTGTCCGAGGCTCACATTCACCATAATCAGAGAAATTGGCTTCCCATAATTCATAGATACTTACTTCAATTAAGGCAAGAGATTCAAAGTGGTTGGGCAAAGAGAATTGCATCTCATAGAGTTCTGATGTTAACTCCTTCAAAGTAGTGAAACAAATTTTAAAGGCTTAAAAGTGATATAGAGAAGTAGAAGCAACAACCAGTAAAAGTGATTCCAGTGCTTCTAAGGGTTTGACTCTCTTATCAATACAAGTTGAATACCAACGGGCCTTTTGAATATCATCATACAATTTCTGGAGGGATCAAGGTTGTTGTTTTTAATGTACATATTCCATTATATTTTACTTCTATTTTACCATGAACCTTTTGAAGCCCCTTCTTGAGGGTGGGTATATATACTCATATGTAAATATAAACTCACTGTCATCTAGTTAATGTCAATTTATAGTGACCCTAAAGGACAGGATAGAACTGGCCCTGTTAGTTTCCAAGACTACTGTTTATGCAAGTAACAAGCCTCATCTTTCTCCGAAGGAGTGGCTGGTGGTTTCAAACTGAGGATTTGTGGTTAGCAGTCCAACACTATAACTCTATCATCTATCTATCATCTATCTATCTATCTATCTATCTATCTATCTATCTATCTATCTATCTATCTATCTATCATCTGTCATCTATCTATCTTTAAAATGTATTGCTACAAAATCCTAGATGTCCCTCATAAGTGTTCTTGAGTTTTGGGAACAAAAATATCTTAAGGGGCAAAAATAGGGCTGTCCAATTGACTGGGTAAGATTTCCCAATGAAATTCTCATGTGACAACCCTTGTTAACCCCAAAGAATGGATAGGGGCAATTGATGATTAAAAAAAAAAAAATTCTTGGTGAAAATTGCCTTGTCTTTTTCGCATCAATGCAGGTTTCTGTTTGGCTAAAACTTCTAAAATGTTCCCATAGTTGTCCTACATCCTTCCAGAAAACCTGCCAACAAACAATGAGTACAAACTTAGCCATGTCAGTAGGAGGGGAGGGGATCTCACTACCAACAAAACCACATGAAGAGCTTACCTCCTGCACCTTGAGGTCTCTATGCAGTGGTCCTCCTTGATCTGGAGGACAGCTCTGACATGAGAGGAGTGACAGATGAGCAGTAGCGGTAGAATTGGGAGCCAGTGCATGAGATAGGATAGTGGACTTCTTAATCCATAGAGCAAGTAAATCTGAGGGCTGTGGGCAGGCAGGAGGCTGTGGGGTACCTCTGGGAACTTAGTTTGGGCATCTGGGCTTGCTGACCTCAGAGCTAGAGCTGAGTGTTCCCAAGCCGAGACCTACTGCAATGGGGTGCCTCTGGACATTTAATTTACGGAACTAGATTTTCTGACCCATGGAGCTTGAGCTGAGTGCCCCCAGGTTGAGGCCATTAAAATGAATTAGAGAACAGAATTGACAAAGTAGAAAGCTTTGTTTGAGACAGCTCAGATATTCTCTACTTTCAGCGAAGATTCATCTGACCTCAGCCAAGATGTTCAATGTCCTCTTGTGCTTTAGTATGAATTTCTGGCAGTTTTCTGTGGATGGTCTTCTGCAACCATTGTTGGATAATCTTCAGCAAAATTCTACTTGCATGTGATATCAATGTGATTTACTATAATTTGAGCATTTTGTTGGGTCTCCTTTCTTAGAAATGGGTACAAACATGGGTCTCCCAGGCAATTGACAGGCAACTAGCTGGCATCCAAAGTTCTTGGCATAGGCTAGTTAGTACTTCCAGTGTTTCTTCAGCGTGTTGGAATATTTCGATTGTTATTCCATCAATTCTTTGAGCCTTACAAATGGTTAGTGCCTTCAATGCAGGTTGGACTTCTTCCTTTGGTACCATGGGTTCTTGGTTGTATGCTCCATAAAAATGGTTGAATGTGGACCAGGTATTTTTGGCACAGTGACTCTATATTTCTTCAGTTGTCTTTTGATGCTTCCTGCATTGTTCAATATTTAGATCTTACAATCTTTCAGGATTGTAACTTGAGGCTTATTTTTTTTTCAGTTCTTTCAGTTTGATATGTGCTGAATGTGTTCTATAATTTTTTGGCTATTTAACTCCAGGTTGGCACATTTCATTATAATGCTTCACTTTGTCTTCTAAAGTTGCCATTTGGAATTTTATTTTCAGCTTTTTTAAAAAAATATCATTTTATTGGGGGCTTGTACAACTCTTATCACACTCCATAATACATCCATTATGTCAAGCACACACATTTGTACATTTGTTGCTATCATCATTCTCAAAATATTTGTTTTCTACTTGAGCCCTTGATATCAGCTCCTCATGTTTCCCCCTCCCTCCCTGCTCCCCACTCCCTCATTAACCCTTGAAAATTTATAAATTATTATTTTGTCATATCTTATGTCTCCCTTCACCCACTTTTTTGTTGTCTATCCCCCAGGAAGGAGGTTATATGTAGATCCTTGTAAATGGTTCCCCCCCTTTCTACCCCACTTTCCCTCTACCCTTCTCGCCACTCTCACCACTGGTCCTGAAGGGATCATCTGTCCTGGATTCCCTGTGTTTC